AGAAGAAGAAGAAGAAGAAGAAGAAGAAGAAGAAGAAGAAGAAGAAGAAGAAGAAGAAGAAGAAGAAGAAGAAGAAGAAGAAGAAGAAGAAGAAGAAAGAAGAAAACTGGATTCTATGATTCTTGACTGAAATTGTTGTTGTTATCATCCTCATCTCATTGTGATTACGAAGTGAGTTTTATCTTAAAATTTTCATTTGATTGGGGTTGAAACCGAACCATATGGTTTAATACGTGAGATGAGTTAAAACTGTTTATATGCTATTTTTAGCATAATTATGAGTTTTGATATATTTATTATCAAATGGCTAGAAATAAAGATGAAATATTCAGGAGAGATGTATTTTGGGATAAGGGTGGCATAATCATGAGAGGTGTATTTTAGGATAAAGATGACGTAATCAAAAGAGATGAATTTTGGGATAATGGTGGATAATCAGGAGAGGTGTATTATGGGTTGCATAATCAACTGTATGTTAAAATTGAGATTTTGATCATGTGAAGAAATGTTATCTCATCTTCATGATGCGATGACCTTGGTTTATCGCATCGTATCCTTGTGATGTGAGAAGGGTGTTTGTCGCATCCTTAAGATGCGACAAGTTGGGCTATTGCATCCTATTGAAGCGACAAGAGATATTTATTGCATGTGTTGGATGCAATGAGATGGGTTATCACATCTGTGTGATGCGAGGACGTGGGGTTGTCTCATCCTTGTGATACAAGAAAATTATGGTTTTATCTATATGAATGCGACAAGTTTATATGTCATGTGATAAATAAGTTATTTTGTTGTATGATGCGATAAGTGGGTATTGTCTCATCTTCTTGATGCGACAAAAGAGGTTTTTTTTGACAAAATATTGTTTATTTGTTATGATGGGCTTTATAAAAGTGTTTTGGTAATTTTCTCCCTTAATAACAATCAAAAGAGAATTTCTCACTAGACCTCATGGTCTAACCTGAAGAGAGGAAAGAGGAGATATGAGAGAGGATATTTATAAAATCTCTAAAACGTCCTTAATTAATATATTTAAATTAAAATTATCAAAATTATTAATT